GTAAAACCGACATAATTGCAATTTACTGCTAAACTAATAATCTCACGTTATTTTTTCATAGAACTGATTTTGTAGAGGGCAAGCTAATGATCAACTTTGATTCAAAAAAATTTTCAAAATCCCCGTTTACAAGCAAAAAAACTCAAAAAAAAACGTTTTTTTTGTTTAAACAATTTTCCTGGCTACAAAACACGGGTTCTAGCGGGGACAAATGGAGGGCATATTCGTGGGGGTCTATACTATCTAGGAAAAAATTGGCTAAGCGCTGGTGTCTTAGAATAGGTCTCATGTTTATTCCGACTGGATTAAAAATGTTTTATTGGTTTATCGGGACAACAAATTATTAAAATATAATATTATACTAAGTGGGTAAAGTTATACGACAGAGGAAACATTGCAAGAAACAGTTTACTAGATAAGCATTGCGTGTACTCACAGAAACATTGCTAATATACGACGCTGAAGTGGAGTACATTACTTCTTCACCACACGTCTCTTGGACCTATCTTGCAGTTTAGAGATGGCTGAGGCCTCGGCTGGGTATTCAGTTTTACCTTCGGCCGGGCCGGGCCGAAGGAATGAATACCGGAATCTTGTCCATATCCATGAGACAATTCACCCGTTGTCGCTTGTTATCGGGATCCATCACATAAATGCTTCCATCTTGCGTCCAGCACCTATTGATACCGTACTTCTTTCTCACCGTCATAAACAGTGTGTGGCGTTCACTTGTGAGAAATTCTGATAAAGTTATACCAGTACCTTTCAGATGCTTTTTGGCAAACCAAACCTTGTTCCTTACAGATGCATCAAAGAACTTAACCAAAATAGGCCTGGGTTTATCATCCATAGGTCTGCCAATCCGGTGAATGCGGCCAATATCTTGCCTAGACAGAGTAGTAAGCTTGAGCCGTTGTATTGCCAAGCTAAGGAACATATCTGCAACAGCTTCATCCTTTTGCTCAGCCACTCCGTACACGAGAAGCATACGCCGCCGACTACGTATTTCACGCCGATTAGCTTCCTGAGTCAGGAATTCCACTTGTTTTTGAAGCATATCCAGTGCAGAAACAACGAAAGTGCGGAATCTAGCAAAATCCTCTGCTATAGATGTGGTATTCGCTGATTTTGATGGGACAGCCTTTTGAAGATCTAGTTGGAATTCAGCCATCCTAGTGTTGAATAGTGTAGACATTTCTTCAATGGATTTCTTGACTAAATCCATGACGAATAATGTGTTTGTTTAGAATGTTAAGTGCAGTATTCAAGGGAAGGAAATTATATTGCTGGTAGGTTTAAGTGATTCACTCTTTCATAAACAGTTGTAAATATTAATATAACAAGATTATATATTTTAAATTCAAATTAAAAGCTGGAGCTCAAAAAAGTATGTTTACTTTACACAACTACCCACAGTAAATTGGTATGTACCTTTTATATAATGACATATATAATGTGTGCAGTGCAATGTAGTCATAGTCGCAATATCGCATGAAAATGTATGTGTTGCATAATTACATATTATACTACAATCAACTACTAGCTTAGTGTTAAATATACAGGAAGTCCCACGGCTACCTCACACGGAGGGAAAGTATATTAAATATTGAAGGTAGGATATTTTACTGAAAGAAGGCATCATTTTATTATTAATAATAACTAGAACTGCATTCACAGATTTTTGAAGTTATACTTCTTTAGGCGTGTTATGAAAAAATGATGAGAGTGAAATTTTAAGATGCGCGCGCATCACTGTAACACAAAATTTTAACAGCATGAAGCGACCAACTTCATGCTGTTACTTTTGTGTTTACCGCACATTAAGAAAATCTACCAACAAAATAGAAATAGAATCTCTATTTTGTGGGTGCTAACGACTGGATTGTAAAGGCCTATCAAAAGTATTTATTAATCTGGAACAACGGAACCAAAGCGCGATTCAGGAGACTACAGCGCCATCTCTTGACCATTGGTGTAGTAGAACCACAAACCACATCTTTATTTTTTGTAATAAAGTAACAGTTATAGGTATTCATATTTATAATATCAAAAGTATTTATTAATCTGGAACAACGGAACCAAAGCGCGATTCAGGAGACTACAGCGCCATCTCTTGACCATTGGTGTAGTAGAACCAAAAACCACATCTTTATTTTTTGTAATAAAGTAACAGTTATAGGTATTCATATTTATAATATTTATCCACATGTTTCTAGTTTGTATATTCGGAATACGTGTTTGAGTTTCATACAAGTGCAAATCACATATGTTCTAATAAATTATATTCAGTAGCGATTTTAATTGAATATTTTGATTATTTATTTATTTTTTCAAATTATAACTGAACTTTATTGACTATGTCCTTTTCCAGACTTTTTATTAATTTATTGTAATTAATTATTTGCATGCAATTAAAAATTAATTTTAAACGATGCCAAAGAAGGATAACTTCTCACGCGCCTACATAAGTACACGCACCCATTTTTTTATTTAAAATCGCCTGTTACAACGGGGAATCATACAATAATATAAATGCATACGTACTACAGTTTGTATACCACTTTATTATTTTTATCACGTAATTCACATTCCTTTCATTTAAAACGCTTTGTTATTTAGGAAAAAAAAATCTTATGATTAACCCTTTCGATGGTTATCATAAAATATGCCGTGTTATTTTTTTTCGAAATTTCATGAGTTTCATTCCTAGTTTAGCATGCGATTTTTAAAAAATCTGTGAATGCAGTTCTAGTTATTATTAAAAATAAAATGAAGTCTTCTTTCAGTAAAATGTCCTATCTTCAATATTTAATATACTTTCCCTCCGTGTGAGGTAGCCGTGGGACGACCTGTATATATACATAAATTATGGTTATGAGGTCCTAGATTTTATTTAATTGCACCGTGATTATTATCGTGCCGCGAAAAAAAATAATTGCGATATACTCACGAACATTTGTTCATTTCGGATTTCTCTATAGTCCAGGAGATAAAAACATTTATTTTTAAGATTTTGTATTAAAAGGCGTTTTAGGTTTTCTTTTGAACTTTTTATTTTGAACTTCTTAGAGTTTTTTAACCACAGTTATTTTTATATGAAGTAACGCATTTTATTATAATCCACAAAAGTAGTACCTATTAATCTGGAATGACATATAGAAGAAATTAAAGGACCATGGGGGATTTTGTATGGACCCCGTCCCCACTCTGCAACAGACACGAAATGCGTGTGGATTTGTTCATTCGTACTCAAAAGGAGAAAAAACACTTGTTTTAGATGGGAAATCGATGGGGTTAAACTATAATAAAAAAACTTTTCGGCAAAAGTCTTTTTACTTTCATACAAAAATACATTTTTCTTATAAAAATGGTCTTGAGCTGAAAAAATATTAATTTAGAAATATGTACAATGTCTTACTTAATGTTCATTTTTTACCGACTAAAAAAGAGGTCCTCAATTCGTCATTACATGAATTTTTATTGTTGTTCGCGCATCTCTGAAGCAACAATAAAAAATGTTGCAAATACGGGAAAAAGTATTCCATTTGAGAGCTTTCATTGCGTACAAACACGGTCACGGCCGCCTGACCAGCTTTAAGGCGATTTTGCCATGCACTCGTTTTGTACGATTCGTTAGTGGGCGGGCTCTCGACTTTTTATGAATGAACAGCAATAGTTCGGTTGTGTTGTGATGAATGTATGCTCATGATATTACATTTTGTTAGGAATTCGTAAATGATTTAGTGAATGTCCTCTTTTCAATTACATACATAATTAAATCCGGAAACAGTTGTAATCGTTCGTGCTATTTACGAAGTAAGAGTTCTGTAGATTATTTAACAACTTATTTATTTATAAGAATCATAACTCCTGAATAATTCAGTGATATTTTATATGTCACTAACGGCCGCACTCAAAGGCGTCAATTAAAGGTAATGCTTCATTAAGTCGCGTGTTGTCTTATTTTGTTTTACCAAGAAATTTTGTTTCTACAAAGAAAGTGACAGCATCAACTTTAATTTAAATTAAAAGTTTAAATATGAAGGTGAAATTTTACACGAAAGTAGGTAATTATTAGGAGTCGTTGCCTAAAAAGGATTTTAGGAAACTTCCTTAAAATGGGGATAAAGGTGTATAAATTTAAAATTAAATTTTTTAAGGTTGTTAATATCGGAGTTGGTAATTAATTAGGCTTCTAATTACCTAGAGAAATAGAAAATGGTAGTATTTTTTATTTATACTCTAAGGGGTTACAATGTATGATCAAAGTTTTGTTCTGCGCGTGCGAAGCCGCTGACGGAAAGCTAGTACCTTTTTTTACAAGAGCATAATAAAAATAAAAGAAATAATTATTAAGTTATAATTTTTATTATTTTTAAAGCATGTAACTGCTTGATGTTTAAATCTAAAGAAAAATATAACTAGAAAAAATTCCACGCGGACCAGGCAGCAGACGGGACTCGAACCCGCACCCTTCGCAATCCGGGCGAATGCACTGACCACTGTTCGAGTCCCGTCTGCTGCCTGGTCCGCGTGGAATTTTTTCTAGTGATATTTTTCTTTAAATAATTATTAAGCTCATGCTATTTGAGAGTAAAAAGGCTATAGGTTTTCTTTAAAAATATGGCTATACCAGATTCATGAATTCAATATTAAAATCGAAACCAAATGTAAAATTACGCGTTGATTATTGTTGTTGTTTTATTTATCTTTTCATTGAAATAAAGCAGCAATTTAAAACTAGAAAAGTTAAAAATTTTAACCAAAATTTATAACGTGTTTTTTTAATACTTACTACAGAGATATTTATCATTCAATTTTATTTTAGAGGGTAACCAGTAGGTAATATAATACACATATTTTAATAAGTTTCACTCAGTCATTGTAGAAGCGTTTTAAAAGAAATTTACACGCTGTTTATTTTGTTAACATTTTTTTCACGCTCAATGATACATCTTTATGCTTACCAATATTTTTTGCAACGTTTGCAGTCACAAATTATGTGTGGTTTTTTTTTTATTTTAGCTTTCTTCACGTATAATGTAAAAATATTATTTTCTCAGTTGGTGATACTGAGTCTAGCTGCTTTGGCAGTGGCTGCACCTCGAACAGGCCAAGAAGTCCAAATTTTGCGTTATGAAAATGAAAATATTGGTGTGGGTGGCTACAGATACGCGTAAGTACATTAACATACAAATTTTAGCTCATAGGTGTTTTCCAACCTAAAAATTACGCCACGTATCTTAAATAGTAACAATTAATGTAATTTTGCTGTGGTTTTCTGTACAACAGAGAATACATTGCAGGGATCATCGATTACCAATCCGAGTAGGGGTTATTCACTTACTCGACACAAGGGACTGGATACATGTTTTTCCAGTCTCTTGTGTCCACTTATAATTTCGTCATCTGGACACGCTAAGATTTTTATGCATGTCCACGTCGTCAAACTTCTAGAAATCAATTTTGTCTTTTCGCCAACACGTCCGAGTTTATAACAAAGTACAGCCACGCAGTTATTATTGTTTTGTGTCACAATCATCATCGGCTACAGTACGTCCCGCTGTAGCTGAGATCGAGTAATTTTCTCTATTAATTCTCTTATTTACTAAATAAAATATAATTCAGGGTTCCCGCTCGTCTCACACGTAATCAATCTCACCACTTTGCCCTCCTTTACGACATTATTTACTTGGATCGCAGTCACCTCTGCCGAAAGTCCAGATTAGTGTCATTAGAGACATATCGTTGGAGCGTTTTGGAATATATGACGAATTGAGCAAATTTTTGTTTCATTGTAATTGTGTGGCATTCGATAACTTAGGGTCGCTGCACACGGGCCATACGCGACAGCCACAAATGCCGCCACGAGAAGCTAGAAGCGACTACAAAAGTAGCTGAAGCGCGTGACAGCAACTTGTGGCCAGTGGTCATCACTTGCCGTCGGTGGCTGCTACTTTTTTTCAAATGCGTGCAGTATCATAATGGCCTCTGACGAAGAAGGTTTGAAGATGAGAAATCGCGCGAGTGGCGTATGGCGTGTGGTTGTATCGGCACATTAGTGGCCGGTGTGGGCCACAAGAAGCGAGCAACGACGCTTTGTAGCTAATTCGATAAAGGCATTCAGCATGTGGTGCAGTGGAGATTTCGCTGGTCTGAGTTTTGGCGGAGTTACATATCTCACATCAAATCTGCGGGGCTATTCTGTAAATTCTTCTGTCAAAATCAAACTATTCGTGCTAAGGGTACAGTACCCTTAGGACGAATAAATATCGAATCCAAATAGTTTGCGAGTATGAAATGTCATCAAATATGTACTGATTTTTATTTCTCGTTACGTCCGTTGTGACACTTCTGTTTAAGTTTCCATACAAAATTTGACATTGACATTTCGGTTTGCAAACTATTCGAATTTGATAATGGTTCGTGCTAAGGGTACTGTACCCTTAGTACGTACCAATATCGAATCCAAATAGTTTGCGAGTGCGAAATGTCATTGTCAAATTTGTACTGATTTTTAGTTCTCGTTAAGTCCGTTATGGCGCTTCTGTTTATGTTTCCATACAAAATTTGACATTGACATTTTTCACTCGCAGACTATCCGAATTCGATATTGGTTCGTGCTAAGGGTACTGCAGTGCTATTCTGTAAAATATTCATGCGCAGATCCGCATCGGATCAAACATTTTACAGAATAGCACTGATGTACGCTTCAACGCAGCGCGAGCGAAACGACGAGTCATCGTCGCTTGGCAACCGACTGCGTTTTCTTTTCTCTCTTTACAAACGGTCGAGCTGTATTGTTGTCCTTTTCTTGATATTAAATGGCGAATAAGTAAAAACATTCATGACAAACTGTGTTTTTTAAGAAAATAATGTTTTTATAGTTTTACGAAAGAAAAGTGTTGACGTGGAATTTGTTATTTGATCTTGAACTATTTGTGTTCTTTATAAACGCATGAAAAGCGTAGTTTTATCTTTATAACACAGAATATACGCAATTTTGTTATATTGAGTGCACATGCAGCGTGTTTGAATGCCCAATTGTGACTAAAGCTAATGTAATCATGCACCACAATTTAAGCGCTATACTTTAAAGTCGCGAATGTCGTATCTTCCCTTTCTGTTTTAGTCTAAGATAAGTATATATAAATAGACCTTCTTCTTGTATTGCTGAAAACTGCTGTTGAAATCCGTTACGTACTTTTAAAAGATCAAAGCGTACAGACAGAGGGCGACTTTGTTTTCACTATGTAAAGATACATATTATATAATGAAGATTTGCAAGAGAAATAAGACATCTGCTCCAGTTGCAGCGTCCTGCAGGAACAGTGAAATAACAAACCTCTTTTCGATGGTGTTGAGATTATTTCTTTGAATTAAGTTCCAGGATCCAAATACTGAGGAATGGATTCAAAATGGCAAGGTATAGATCGCAGGTCCAGCACAATTTTTTATCATATCAACTCTTTCCACATATTATAGACTCAACTCACTCACACTTAATGCCAGCTTGGGTGTGATAGTTTACTGTGCCTTTAAAACAAATAGTGACTTCTGTAACTGTTGGAACAAATAAAATAAGTTATAAATAAATTTAAAAAAAAATATCATGGAGCATGGGCTTTAAAAATAATATGCAGGCAAAAACAATTTATTAAAATTAGGTAGGTATGTAGTTACGTGGAAAGGCGCTAAAAGAAATCGTAATTCCATTCATTTTTTTTTAATTTGGTCCATTGCATTACAGATTTGAAACGTCAGATGGCACGAGTCACCAGAGTCAGGGAGAGATTAGAAACGAAGGTAGTGACAACGAGTACTTGGCTGTATCCGGGTACTACACTTGGACCGCACCCAATGGCAGGCAATACAAAGTGAAATACGTCGCTGATGATAACGGGTACCAACCGGAAGTAGAAGAAGCACCCGGAGCGCCAGGACCGATTGTAGCCTCACTCTTAGGCAAATAAAAAACAAACTTGGAATTAACCACAAAAATTACGCCTAGTTAGGCTTCTGTAGTACAAAGTATGTAATTAATTATAAACGGCGTCAACTGTGATATTACTGCATAAAATGACTTCAGTAAAATCACAAGATTTAAAACCAAAATTATTTTGTAAATTTACTTACCTATAATTAAATTAAGGCTTGTATGTATCATACAATTATAAGTACATGTTAATGTTTCCCAAAAAATAAAATCAATACAAAATAAATTGAATGAGCTTTTTTATTTATTTGATGTAGAACTGGACGTTTAGATTAAATTCAAATCAAATCAAATTTATTAAAACATTACATTGATCAATGTATGTTAATAACAATTGCCACTTAATAAAAATGTTTGTCAACATCACACATAGAGATACTTATTTAAATTAAATTAACAAAGAAACCACTAGATCTTTTATAACGATAAAAATTACGTATTTTTATTAATTTTAGTTTTTCTTTTTAGAAATATAATTTATTATTGAAACAACATTCAAAGATGATGACTTGCAAATACTTACCTATATCCCTATTAGAATCATTTTAAATGCGAATCTCGAACTTAATATTTTGCTAAGGTTTCAGCAATATCTGTTTGCTTTCACGAAAGCTACTTTTAATCATATCTATTCCAAATAAACATCATAGGTACGTTACGTACGTACGTACGATAGGTAATTATTTAGATCTTTAATATTGGGAAAAAATAATTCTGACAAAAAAAATCGTTTTAACGACTTCAATTGAATACTGAAAACTGCTGCCCATCAAACATGACTACAAACTACGAATGTATATTCGTAGTTTCTAACACATAGCTTTCCATCACCGCGTCGTGTGTTCACTACAATTTTGTCAATCAATGCAGCTAAGTTTTTAAAACGAAATATGGGCATACTGTAATTAAAAATAAATTACGAAAACCCCTTGATAGGTGTCCTCAGAAGATGAGCGTCTCACCTTCGCCGTGTCATAGGAGTGGTCAAACACAAAAACATTGTTAACAAACTCGGTACGTCAATTAATGTGTGTTGCAATATATTATTCCCGATAGTATAAAACATGAGTTAACTTATTGCATGCAAACACATTTACTAGATATCTCGAAGCGATCACTAAGATTAACAAGATGAAACTGGTGGGTGTTTTTGTACTAAGTCAAGTTTTTAATTATTATTAAAGAAAATGTTTTGTTTGATTTCTCTTTAAAGAATCATTCTGAGTTCAATATAAAAAAAGACTTTTATTTTCAATAAGTCCAATAATGAAAAAACTCTATCACTGAGTTTTATTCAAAAAATATGAATTGATGGGTTTCCTTTTCGCTTTGCTTTATTTTTTATTAAGTTTTTTTTCTTATAGTTAGCAATTTTGGTTCTGGTTGCTGCTGCCTCTGCTGCGCCGCAAGCCTACAACCCTCAGGATGTTCAAATCCTTCGGTATGATACTAACAACGATGGACTGGGCACATATAATTTCCTGTAAGTATCAAAGCAATTTTATACTCTGTAAATACTCTTCACTTTTCACAATTAGTATAACAAACACAGTTTATTATCATCACCATATTCAGCCTATGGTTGTCCACTACTGGACATAGGATAGGACCTTTTTTATGTTAAAAAAAAAATGTGTGTGTCAGCTCCGACGCACGACTGGAGTTTAATCCTTAAGTTCGATAGTCTAACCAGACGCAAAAAGAGTTTATTTAACTTAAAAAAGATTAATACTGTATGAAAGGGTAAATTAACAACTTAATGAAAATAATATACATACATAAATATATATAAATTCATTTCATATACATTTATTATAACTAATCGACGAAATATTTTACATTAAACTTTTTACAATAGTCAAGTTCAGATATGCATAAATATATCATTAGCAATGTTGATAAATTATGTAATTATTATTATCAGACTATTATCATTTTTTTAAATATTAATTAAATCAACATTGTCTGCATTATTAATTACAGTGACAAGTACTTTATGGTAACTAAAATAAGACACATGGACGTTCGCAGATACGTGGTTCACGAATCTTGAAAATACCGCATCAATGGTTGTACCATACCTCGTTGTCCCCATTGCTCTATCAGAAACAATATCTAAATTCAGTTCAGATTTTAAAAATTTTATTAATGTCAATCCGTCATCTTTCTTTGTCAAAGTTGCGCGACATAGGATGCGCAACAAAAATGTAACGAGGTCATTCATCGATAGACTCCTCACATTTTTCTCATACCGGGCCCCTTATATATGCAAATCGATTCTTAAGGAGTAAACTCCAATAGTTGCAAACAAGCATATGGCCGGCCAATGTTCAGCGGCCACTATAGCCTATGAACCCTTGCGATACAAAAATATTACTCGCGCCGTTGCCTACCCGGACACAAATCCCTACCTCGTGGAGCCCTGGCACCTGGCACCAAAAGATAGTGTTATTTTACTGTGGTCTTCTATAAAGTGAAGGTAACTTCCACAGATGGGCGCTCCCATTCGAGCGGAAAATCCGCTAAACCCTACCTCTCATGTAGAGAGCCATGAGGCTCCTCTAAGGATTTCCAAACACAGCGGTCCCGCGCTATCCGCAACAGTTATTTAGACCATTGAAAATGTAAATTACTAGTAAGATACTACCAATTTCAAGAAAGAAAAAACTATATTTATACCTTGCCTAAGGTAATATTCTGTAATTATGCGAATAATTTAAAATTCATCGAAAAAATAAAATAATCAAAAAGTATATAAGTAGCATTTACAAATAACAATTTGTCTTGAAGTCTTTAGATGGAAAACGTAAATTTTCATGTTTTTTTTTCTGGAATAATTTGAAGTGTTAATAGTTTTTTTTTTTAATATAACTCCTAACAGGCAAGAATAAATATTTATTGAACTTTTGCATTATTTTTGACGTTTCGGACCTCTTTCAGTCTTCGTCTACCAAATCTCAGGCAGGAAGACGTAATTTAAATATTTTTGACTATCTGCCCTTCTCAAAATATTGCAACGTGCAAAAACATAACAGACGGACAGGACGGATAGAATCAAGTTTAGATTTATAAATGTAGTATCAAGGTTTAGAAAGCCACATTTGTCGCTCGACTTGTAACGCCCGTCAGGGTTCGCATTGAGAAAAATTGCTTAAGGGGGTGTTATGTAACTATCGGAGATTAAGGTTTTTGGAGCTTCACAGGGTAGCATTGGCTTCAGTCATATCAGCAGTGCTATTGCGTGATTTAAATTAAGAACACGAATTTCAAATAAAATCAAACTGGCAAATTCCGCGGTGAAAAGTGAGTTTGGTCTTACAGAATAGTACTGCAATTTAGCAAGATGAAGGCCGAAACAACGGCACATTTTTATGCTGCGTCAACTATTTTCGCCACTAAATTCCACTCACTACTGACATCAGAAAGGGAGAGATAATTTGCTTGATTTGATTGTTTTATGAACAAGGCTCACGTCAAGACTATAAGGATGCGACTAGTCGATCCTAAAACCCCTTATTAATAAACGAACAATAAACTTGTATAAGGAACTCCATGTTTTGTCTTTGTTCGTTGAATGACAAATGACACTTGAGTGATAATATGAACAAAACACGGCGTAACTCATCTAAACCTATCCCTCGTTTATTAATAAGGGCGATAGGGTCTACTATGACTTATTGCGACAGATAAGCTTAAAACACATTACAGGAAAATAATTGCCTGTCTCTAAAATACTCATCACTATGTTCTCATTCGAGCGAGTCGCACACGCGACTGTCGTAATCTTAATTTCAATGTTATAAAATTATTATGCGGTGAAAGGTCGAGGTCGACAAACTAACAATCACTGAGTGAATTGCGAGTAGTATGATGATTATCAAATATTTGAGGTTTTTATCTTTATGATATTGTGGGCAATTTATGAAACGACACAGGTACTCATACCTAAACGCAATTGTGATTGCCGTGCATTTTAACAGTTTGTTGTGGAATGGCGCAAGTGTGGTTACCGTGTTGTAGATTTTGCGTTGTTTGAAACATCGTTTGAATACTAGAGAACAATAAACATTTGTCAAAATTTGATACATTAATTATCTATGATTTTATTTATTTTTTAAGCATTTAACTGCTAGATGTTTAAATCTAAAGAAAAGTTTACTAGAAAAAAATCCACGCGGACCAGGCAGCGGACGGGACTCGAACCCGCATCCTTCGCTATCCGGGCGAATGCACTGACCATTATGCTACCACGGCCCTATTAGCCGCGTCGAAATTTTCCTAGCCTTAAGCTGCAAGGCAGCGCCATTTCTTCGCATCGTAGATAACCCACAATGTCAAATGAATACTTTTTCAAGTATTAAACATTTGAAAGAAGAAATAGCAATTATAGTTATGATTTTATTTATTTTTTAAGCATTTAACTGCTAGATGTTTAAATCTAAAGAAAAGTTTACTAGAAAAAAATCCACGCGGACCAGGCAGCGGACGGGACTCGAACCCGCATCCTTCGCTATCCGGGCGAATGCACTGACCATTATGCTACCACGGCCCTATTAGCCGCGTCGAAATTTTCCTAGCCTTAAGCTGCAAGGCAGCGCCATTTCTTCGCATCGTAGATAACCCACAATGTCAAATGAATACTTTTTCAAGTATTAAACATTTGAAATAAGAAATAACAATTATAGTTATGATTTTATTTATTTTTTAAGCATTTAACTGCTAGATGTTTAAATCTAAAGAAAAGTTTACTAGAAAAAAATTCACGCGGACCAGGCAGCGGACGGGACTCGAACCCGCATCCTTCGCTATCCGGGCGAATGCACTGACCATTATGCTACCACGGCCCTATTAGCCGCGTCGAAATTTTCCTAGCCTTAAGCTGCAAGGCAGCGCCATTTCTTCGCATCGTAGGTAACCCACAATGTCAAATGAATACTTTTTCAAGTATTAAACATTTGAAAGAAGAAATAGCAATTATAGTTATGATTTTATTTATTTTTTGAGCATTTAACTGCTAGATGTTTAAATCTAAAGAAAAGTTTACTAGAAAAAAAATCCACGCGGACCAGGCAGCGGACGGGACTCGAACCCGCATCCTTCGCTATCCGGGCGAATGCACTGACCATTATGCTACCACGGCCCTATTAGCCGCGTCGAAATTTTCCTAGCCTTAAGCTGCAAGGCAGCGCCATATCTTCGCATTGTAGGTAACCCACAATGTCAAATGAATACTTTTTCAAGTATTAAACATTTGAAAGAAGAAATAGCAATTATAGTTATGATTTTATTTATTTTTTAAGCATTTAACTGCTAGATGTTTAAATCTAAAGAAAAGTTTACTAGAAAAAAATCCACGCGGACCAGGCAGCGGACGGGACTCGAACCAAGGTTTAATACTTGAAAAAGTATTCATTTGACATTGTGGGTTACCTACGATGCGAAGAAATGGCGCTGCCTTGCAGCTTAAGGCTAGGAAAATTTCGACGCGGCTAATAGGGCCGTGGTAGCATAATGGTCAGTGCATTCGCCCGGATAGCGAAGAATGCGGGTTCGAGTCCCGTCCGCTGCCTGGTCCGCGTGGATTTTTCTAGTAAACTTTTCTTTAGAATTAATTATCTACTTTGTCGTGATATTAACTATAGGCAAATTTAACTATGTTTCAAATATCGCGATCTAAGGGCATGCTGTTTGATATAGTCAAATGTGACTACAGTTTAAATACTTTAGACGAAAATGGTTGTCTGTAAAGTCAGTTAATGGACGCTAATTTTACGTGATAACGTGTCGTTCGCTGTTTTCCTCGAGCTTTTGGAGCTTTTTGTGTCGGTTCGTTTGAGTTCAAGCACGCCTCTGCAGGGTTGGTAGGGGGGGGGTCGGGGGGTGTCATGGAAGTCAGGGGGGTCAGGGGGAGTCATGGAAGTCAGGGGGGGTCAAAGGGGCTCGAAGGACACACACATTGGAACGTTGAACCACTTTTTCGAGCGTGCAGCCGGTGTTTATAGATTTACACGACATTATCACGTCAAAAAAGCCATTTGTCAAAATTCGACTCTGGCGGTGTCAATATATCTTTATTATCAGTAAAATGTTTAAATATAGTTAGTGCCATGTCAAGTATTTTACTTTGTATTTGACATGACATTAACAATAGTCAAATCTAACTATAGATGAAGCAACGCGACCTTAGTCAACCAAACTGATGAAGTAATAACTCTTGTCGATGTGATTATGGATTTGAACTAATGAACTGTATTCATGATCGTTTTTTTCTACAAGTATTATAAAAATCAAACATTCTACACTGAGTTATACGTGTCAATCAATCGTGGGCAATTTAATTAAGTAAATAGATGTTTCTGCATTTATCTTGAGGCCGAAAGGTTGTAATACATACGTAACATTTTTTCTACTGTAAACAACTCGGGCAAAATATCCCCTCGACCCAAAATGGATGTGACGAAATGGAATTTCGTCCGGTACATCGTACTCTGCCTTTCACATGGCAAGCAAGTACAATGACAAACTAAACAATTTCACTGGCGTCAAGCATAAAAAATAGCCTTAAAATTAACTAGTTTCCGACCGCGGCTTTGACGTGTTTAAATAAATATAATAAATAAATAATAAATATTTCCAACCCTCTCACCAATTTGCCTAGCCCCAAAGTAAGCACTGTAAGGCTTGTGTTATGGGATACTAGGATAACGGCTAGAATACATATACAGTACATATATAAGTATATTTATATAGAAATACATTATTTAACATCCATGACTGGAGTACAAATGTTCGTATTCATCACACAAACATCTGCCCCCACCGGGATTCGAACCCGGGACTTCTCGAGTCGGCGACACCATGAAACCCGGCGTACAAACCACTCGGCCACGGAGACGAAGTTTAGTTATAGTTATAAACTATATACCTACTTGTAAAATTTTACCCCAATCCGTTTAGCGTGAAGACTGACAAACTTTCATTCTACTTTCATGACATTTGTCAAAATGTGATACATTTTGGTATATATTTGACGTGACATTATAGTCTTATAGTCAAATTTAACTGTAGGTAAAACATCTCTGCCTTAGAAAACTAACAGTTCTATGTATAAAGACTTTTATACTACACATGCTCGGAAAGTGCTTTATTCTTATGATTCTATTTTTTTTTTAAGCATTTAACTGCTAGATGTTTAAATCTAAAGAAAAGTTTACTAGAAAAAAAATCCACGCGGACCAGGCAGCGGACGGGACTCGAACCCGCATCCTTCGCTATCCGGGCGAATGCACTGACCATTATGCTACCACGGCCCTATTAGCCGCGTTGAAATTTTCCTAGCCTTAAGCTGCAAGGCAGCGCCATCTCTTCGCAGTGTAGGTAACCCACAATGTCAAATGAATACTTTTTCAAGTATTAAACATTTGAAAGAAGAAATAGCAATTATAGTTATGATTCTATTTATTTTTTAAGCATTTAACTGCTAGATGTTTAAATCTAAAGAAAAGTTTACTAGAAAAAAATCCACGCGGACCAGGCAGCGGATGGGACTCGAACCCGCATCCTTCGCTATCCGGGCGAATGCACTGACCATTATGCTACCACGGCCCTATTAGCCGCGTTGAAATTTTCCTAGCCTTAAGCTGCAAGGCAGCGCCATCTCTTCGCATTGTAGGTAACCCACAATGTCAAATGAATACTTTTTCAAGTATTAAACATTTGAAAGAAGAAATAGCAATTATAGTTATGATTCTATTTATTTTTTAAGCATTTAACTGCTAGATGTTTAAATCTAAAGAAAAGTTTACTAGAAAAAAATCCACGCGGACCAGGCAGCGGACGGGACTCGAACCCGCATCCTTCGCTATCCGGGCGAATGCACTGACCATTATGCTACCACGGCCCTATTTTTTTTCTAGTAAACTTTGCTTTATTCTTGATTCAAAAATAATGCAAAAGGACCTCATTACTATTGTACTATTAAGCGGGTTGAAAAAGTGTATGGAAATCCATTTTTTACGCGTTGAGTGAGCAGAAAAGTCTATGGAAATTCATTGTTAACGTCCTGATTTTTTAAATTTAATTTCCGAAAACTGGTCATTATGATTTTGCAGACTTTGCAATCTTATATATTTTATTTATTATGTTTTAAACAATATGCTGTGTGCTTTTGGAATTAATTTTGAAACAAAAATTACAAAGCACACTGATTATTTAATTTAAATGAGTTTATAATTTGTTTTCCTATCTACTCAAGACGGCGTATTTTACTGATCATGAAGATATATTGACACCGCCAGAGTTAAAAGAAACTACCTAAGCAGTAATTATCCTGAACCTTTGTCAAGAAACCAATATAAAGCTCCCATGCAAAAGTTTAGTAACTGTAACAACTTTAATATAAATTTCAATTAAAAAATTTGTCTTTTATTTCCTCGCAGGTATGATATTTGCCTCGAAAGAAAGTGTTATTTGTTGGTAATCGGTCACTTTCTCCTCTCGGTGAACAATGTACTATTTTTGACTTGTTATATATTTAAATCGAAACAAAAGTTTTTTTCAAAACCCCTCGTTTTAAGCCTAAAGGATGGAACGGCGAGTTTGTCCTTATTTTTTGTATTAAAATCATGAACGGTACTTCTTTTTGCAAAATCGTCATAGTTTTTTTTCCAATGATCATGAAATTTTCATAGATATCGCACGTCACAAATAAAAGGGTATTAAGTCGGAAAAATCGTCTATTTAAATCTAAAGAAAAGTTTACTAGAAAAAAATCCACGTGGACCAGGCAGCAGACGGGACTCGAACCCGCACCCTTCGCTATCCGGGCGAATGCACTGACCATTATGCTACCACGGCCCTGACGGCCATGTCGAATTTTCTCTAGCCTTAGGCTGCAAGGCAGCACCGTCTCTTCGCATTTTAGGTAACCCAGTATGTCAAATGAATACCTTTACAGGTATTAAACATTTGAAAGAAGAAATAGCAATTATAGTTATGTTTTTATTTTTTAAGAATTTAACTGCTTGGTGTTTAAATCTAAACAAAAGTTTACTAGAAATAAATCCACGCGGACCAGGTAGCAGACGGGACTCGAACCCGCACCCTTCGCTATCCGGAAGAATGCACTGACCATTATGCTACCGCGGCCCTAACCTGCCTTGCAGCCTAAGATTAGAGAAACATCTAGCAATTAAATGCTTAGAAACTAAAAACATAACATGTTATATATTTTTATTATTACATTTGTAAACGTTTCTTTTTGTAACAGGTACGAGCTGAGCGATAAGTCATCACGTCAAGAGCAAGGAGAATTGAAGAACGTCGGTACTGATGAGGAAGCTCTGGTGATGCGTGGCTCTTACACCTGGGTCGGTCCCGACGGCCTGGAATATAAAGTGACCTACGTCGCCGACGAAAACGGTTTCCAGCCCACCATCGACCAGCCACCGGGCGGTGCTGTCCCCCCAGGTGTGGTTGCGTCCCTACTCGGTTAACTGCAACCGCTTATAGCTCAATACTAGTCCAATTGTAAAATAAATTTCTATTCGTAAATATTATTCATTTTTTTTTATTTAGTGGTCGGCTCTCTAATCTAAAAAATCTTTTAAGGTCCAAAATTCTTCTTCCACCTTTGAAAAACTCTTTTGATTTGTAAATGAGAAAGATTTAACCCATTTTCAACCGTGATTGCGGTATGTTGTGGTATTTAAATGTATATTTTTATTAATTCGAATTTGAAGTGATTTTATTCTTCGAATGTAATATGAAAAAAATATTATGACAGAAGTTGAATATAGATAATTTTGGCACAGTTATTCATATTCCATTATCATTATAGAACTTTTGCATTTAAGGAGATAGTCGAAATAAAAATAAATAATCAATGAAATTAGATTTTTATTTTGATACAATATTTATCTTTTACTACTACTAGTTACTTGTAAACCAATATTTTGATTGACTGTAGAAACTTAAGGAATTATTTAACTGTAGTTATAATAAAAAAAATCAACGCAACGTTAACTGATATTATAGGCCAAATTAAGGCTTTATTAAAGTTGATCTCGAAAGGAAGTTAAAAGTTACCCATACACTTTTGTATATAATTACAGATAATTTTTATTATTAAATTACGGAAAACATAAACTTAAGAAAAAATTACAAGAATTATGACTTAAGATCCAACCAATCTAGCAGTTTAATGCTTAAAATGTCAATATTATAAATAAACTTATTCCTACCTCAAACAAATTCAAATTCACACTGTAGTTCTCTTGTAATTTTTAACACCACAGTAAGTTCTAACAATAGCAATAAATCATAATTCGTGGTTTTGTCTTTGGTAATTTATTATCCTATTTGCTACCTTGTGATGTTTCTATTACTATCATTTCTCAAGCGCATATCGATTCCGAAATGCTAGCAGCACTCAAAGGTTAAAAATAATAAGTAAACAGCGATATTGAGAAACCTTAATTTTATAACGTTTTATTATTTCGTTCCTGACCTATGAACATAGGTGAAATCAAATATCTGCCCCTTCAAAGGATGTCCGCCCTTTGATTAATAGTTTTAAAACCATTTTTTTATTGTAATTGTAAGTTTGAGGTATGAAATTAAATCAAATGAAATGATACTTTATTGAAAGCTCTATTGAATCGCATTATATTTTTTCCTACCCATTCAGGACATCTTTTAACTGATGAGAAGAATGGGTGCAAGAAACTCGAAGAAGAATGAGCATTTACCAGAAGTATCTAGCAATATTTACATCGAATTAGGTAATTGGAAACTTTAATTCAAAGTCAATATCGTAATCTACTATTTTGTTATATTGAAGTTTTTGTCGATCAAGTTTTTTTTATAATTTCCGTAGCTTATTTTAATTAATTTAAAAATACACATTACCATAAATATTTTGTGCCATAAATTTAATAATTAAAAAAAATGTCATACAAGTGGATACTAAATTCCATATATTTATTTAATTAAATAAACTTATTTTTCTACACACGAATATAGTTACTCGATTGGGCAGAGTTTTATGAAGAAAAGAATGAAATGGTAAGAAGAAGCCCAATTAAAAATCTTGTGAGATTTTGTTGATTAGTGAAACATTACAAATGAACCCCTCGTTTTTAAGCCTAAAGGATGGAACGGCGAGTTTGTCCTTATTTTTTGTATTAAAATCATGAACGGTACTTCTTTTTGCAAAATCGTCATAGTTTTTTTCCAATAATCATGAAATTTTCATAGATATCGCACGTCACAAATAAAAGGGTATTAAGTCGGAAAAATCGTCTATTTAAATCTAAAGAAAAGTTTACTAGAAAAAAATCCACGCGGACCAGGCAGCGGACGGGACTCGAAGCCGCATCCTTCGCTATCCGGGCGAATGCACTGACCATTATGCTACCACGACCCTATTAGCCGCGTCGAAATTTTCCTAGCCTTAAGCTGCAAGGCAGCGCCATATCTTCGCATTGTAGGTAACCCACAATGTCAAATGAATACTTTTTCAAGTATTAAACATTTTGAAAGAAGAAATAGCAATTATAGTTATGATTTTATTTATTTTTTAAGCATTTATGTGGTAGCATAATGGTCAGTGCATTCGCCCGGATAGCGAAGGAAGCGGGTTCGAGTCCCGTCCGTTGCCTGGTCCGCGTGGATTTTTTTCTAGTAAACTTTTCTTTAGATTTAAACATCTAGCAGTTAAATGCTTAAAAAATAAATAAAATCATAAATCGTCTATTTTTTTATTTGCGTTTCGAAAACTACTTTCTTTTTCTCTATAAAATGTAAGATAATTGTATTTTAATTCTAAATAGTTTTTAAATTATAGCAACACATGTCTTTCTTTACTGTTCATGAACGTCACTCTCGAGACAGTCAAGACAGTCGCATGTTAGTTATGACCCGTCCAGTCATCAATTTTTAGGCAAAATATAAGATTGTGAGTATTCTAAATAGTATTATGTTAAGCTAATATCCTATTGCTCAGTTTTATTTCAAATAATAACCTCCGGCCTATTCAATTTTATTTATTATTTTCAACGAAATTATTAAGATGATACTTTATAGCCCCCGATTTGCTTGAGATAATCCTATACTGCTTGTCAATTTTATTCTGTGGTTGGGAGTTTTCAAGAAAAGTTCAATACTACCTTTTAAGCAAAACATACCTTCTTACTTTATAATTTTAATATAAAAAATTATATTTATATTAAAATTATAACAATAAGCAAAAAAATGGGCACCTAAGGAAATTTACGTTGTAAGGCCGATTTCAGTTATCCGGGATGGTGAAAGGATTCTAAAATAACAATACTACATACATCTAAATAGGTTCAGACGTTTAGTAGTTATGGTAGAATTAAAAATTGTACATGAAACTTGAATATATCACACTCTTTCTTTTAGACAGTCGTGTATAAACATTCACCGATAAAAGTATTTATATAAAAAGTTTTAAACAAACTTATAAAATACACTCGAGAGCAATGAATCGGAGTCACATAAAGAATCCTAAAAATCTCGCAAACTAAGAATGTTAGCTTAATGAAATAAATTGTGTTTAATAGACAATGAAAAAAACTGGCTGATCTGGCTTCAAAACAAAAATAGGACACGTGAAATTTTTGAACAACATTACGATTTTCTTGATTTTTAATACTTAGTATTGCCTCCTCGTGCTTCCATTACTGCGTTTACTCGGTTCTGTATGCTGTAAACCAACCCCCTTATTAATAAACAAAGAATAGGCTTAGAGTACTTACACCGTGTTTTGTTTATGTCACTCAAATGCTATTTGTCATTCAATCGACAGAGACAAAATATGGAGTAACTAATCCAAACGTAGTCTTAGTTTATTAATAAGAGGGCAAGTGTCTTATAAGATTTTGGGAAATATTTTCCCATTTCTCTGTAAGAGCAATTTTGAGCTCACGAAGCGTAATGGGTTTTGTGGGGGAGGGTTTCGTTGTTTTACGCGTCTTCTTAGCCCGTCCCAAGCATACTCGATCGGGTTGATATCCGGGCTGCGTGCCGGCCACTCCATACGATTAATGTTCATTGCTTAAAGTCATTCACAATCCAACCTCTATGAGGTCGGGCATTGTCATGAATAAAACTAGCATCCTCACCTAAATTGACCATAAATGGACCAAAGTGTTCATTCAAGATTTCTTCCACCTATCTTTCGCTAGTTAAAGAGCCGTTTTCTATGAACACCAGTTCTGTGCGACTCTCAGAAGAAATTTTGGCCCACACAAGTACAGACTCAGCACTGTAGGCTACTTTTTCTTCGATGCATGCTTGCTTGAATCTTTCCCCAGGTCTTCTATATACTCTGTGTTCGTCCCATTTAAAACTATTACGTTCAAGATTATTGAAACCAGTGCGAAATAAACATCAGAGAGTAAACACGTATTTTATTTAATCTCAACACCAGTGCAAACCAAAACAAACCTTATCACCCAACCATATGGTCGACATCGAGCCGGATTACAAATTGAAAAGGACGACCCAGCAGCGATAAGAGAACAAAAGAACGCATACCGAAGCCAGAGTTTTTTTTGCTGTTTGCGACGAATATGAAATAAACAAGTTACTAAGTAATAACTATCGATCTATTACGTGATTTGAACTGCAGTTTGGATTTATTTATTAGAAGATTATTAACAATGGTTTTGCAATTAACTAGTGAACAAGAACAGCTTATTGCCTTATTAGAAGATACCTATGGATTACTACAGAAAACACAAACTAATTTAAAGAAATGTTAAGCAAAGATTAACAAAAGGTTATTTACAAACGAAATCACAGTGTATAGAAGACTCTTGGAAGACTTTCAAAACCACGCATCAAGCATTAATAAAGTGTTCACCTAAAGAAGCACGAGGAGAGATTCCGTATTTTCTTAACGAAGATTACTTTTTATTTGAAGATTTATATACATGTTTACTAGCCGATTTAAGGGATATGTTAGAAGCAAAATCACAATGAAGTCCAAACACGAGTATGAATTCAACACAATCACATGAAACTTTTCTAAGATTACCGCGTATCGAGCTACCCAGTTTCAATGGAAACTATGAAGATTGGCCTACCTTTCGAGACATGTTCACTTCACTGGTGCATAATAATACGGCTTTGAGTAAAGTACAGAAACTTCAATATTTAAAATCGAGTGTCGTTGGTGAAAGTGAATCATTATTGAAACACATAAGCATTACAGAAGATAACTATGAGCAGGCATGGTTAATACTTTCACAGAGGTATGGAAATAAACGATTAATAGTAAATTCAATACTTAAGAAATTATTTAATCAGAAGAAAATTTCTACAGCTTCATCTACTACCCAGTGCTTAAATAACCTCAAAAATCAAAACATACCTATTGACACGTGGGATTCAATTATTATCTTTATAGTCGTACAAAAACTTGATGTGGATACACACCGCGCCTGGGAAGAGTACTGCTACAAGGAAG